TACATGCTTTTTTGGTCTTTAACATATCAAAATAACACTTAATATTTTTTTTTTTAAAAGAGACTAGCTGGATGATTATGCATGGACATTAATAGAAGGCCCGGCGAGTCAAGTACTCAAGTGCATATTATTCAGGCGGAATCGCGCCTTGACCGAGTTTCACCTTCAATATTGCTCTCGCTCCTCGCACCCTCGTGAAACTAACTAACCGTTCGAACCGTTAAATTTGGAACCAAGTAATTAATTAATTTGAACCCCTAATGAACTTCATTTAAAAAAAAAAAAAACAAAGAAAAGAAAAGAAAAGAAAAGAAGTGAAGAAAAGGTCGGGGTGGGTGCCAGCTAGGATGAGAGGCCGCGTGATCACTGCGATTCCATGTGTGAAATGAATCTTGCTCTCAATCTCAAGTTTTGTGAATTGTGATTGGTGGTTGCGTTATTTTTCATCACAAAACCGCTTTTCACTCATATGCCCTCCCTCGTCTCATCCTTTCCTCGCCTTTTTCAACCTTACCCCACGTGGATCCTCCTCGCTTTTATACTAGTATATATTAATTACTACAAGCTTAGATTTTTTTTTATTTTAATTATATTTTAACCAAAAAAAAAAAGGTCAAGATGCATCTAATACTCCGATCTTATTTTTTAAGTGCATCTGGTATCCAGATATTTTGTATGGTGCATTCAGCTAGGGGTGTTCAATTATATCCCGTTCCAATCATTTTGGGATCGGAAAAATTTGTTTTGAGACGGGATGGGATACAGGATAAGAGTGTCCCATCACGGTCCCGTCCTAATATATTATTTTTATTTTTTATTTTTTATAAATTTATTTATTAGTTGTTATTTTTTTATTTGTTTATAGGTTGTTTTGTATGGGTTACATGATACTCTTTGTAATGAACATCTTAAATTTGTTTATTTTTTATCTCTTAAGATTACCCCAAAAAAAAAAGTTTTTTCTTTGCCAGTGTTTTCTCATTTTATCTATTTTTTTCATATAGTTTTTATCACAAATTTGTATACTTTATGTATATATGAGATGTCTCTGTCCGTGTTCCGTCTCAGTCATGTCTCGTTCCAATTGGGACGAAATACTACTGGGATGAGATGGGACAAATCCTGATTATTGGCACGGGACTAGGGTAGCGCTGTCCCTATTTCGTCCCGTCTCATGAACACCCTTACATTCAGCACCTCAATCTTTTTTTTTTGTGAGTTTAGCACCTTAATCTTTGTTTTTATTTTTTTATTACCCTAAAAATTAAGATACTGAATATAACTAAAAAATCACATCTGGGTGCTAAATGCACAAGAAAAATAAAATTGGGATGCTAAATATATTATACAAAAGATTAGGATGCTGGATGGTGCTAGATTGACATTTACTCAAAAAAAAAAGAAAAAGCAAAATCTGATAAAAAAAAAATACTCCTCTGGTCCTTAATATAAGACCCATTTAACTAATTTGATTAGATTAAGGAAGTTAGATAAATTGGTTAATTATAAGAAAAGTGACACGTTTTTCCTAAAACACCATAATCATCTTTCTTAATACCCCATCTCCCTCTTCTATTTGATTATGGCTGTGGGAGTATCCATAGGGGTAATTTAGAAAAAATTGATAAATATGAAAAATGGGTCTTATATTTAGGACCAAAACTAACTCAATAATTAGATCCTATATTAAGGATCGGAGGAGTACTACTTATACGAGTATATACACTTTAATAAAAAGGGAATTTTTTGTGATGTACTTGGCGGAAATATTTCTGTCACCGACGAGTGCCAGCTTTGCGTGAAAGCGACTAGACCGCAAAATTTGTTCTTCCTTGAGGATGTGGGCCCCGCACTGACGCATGTCCACGTCGTTGTCGTTTTTACAGGTGTCACTGCTTCAACAATCTACTGAATCCCACACACGCTGCCATGGCGGGACCAATTGTCCCCCCGCCGGATTTTAAATGCTTATATATGCCCAATCAATGCCCCTCGAGAAAATTTGCTCCAAAAACAGAAAAAGAAAAAAAAAAAAAACAAAACAAGACCCCTCCTTTTTTAACAGTAAAGAGAAAAGCCACTCCAAGCTGGGTTTAGTCCGTCTTATTAAAATTTATTCAATTTCATGCATCAGGAATCCAGATGCATTATGTTGATTTAAATGTTTGATTAATTGGCGCGCACAAGAAAATATACAATTCAATGTAATCTTATTATATAACAAAAACAAGTATTCTCTGTTACATAATGTTCACTATGTAATCTGAATTTAAGTTTATATGATTCAATGCATGGACATTTATACTCTTAATCAATCAATATTTATACATTTATATATACCCTCGATATATTTTTAGTCTTGATAGTGTTAAAAAGATCATTTCACATTTATTTCTATTTTACATATATATATAACATAAATTCCATTGTATGATTAATTTCTTGATGGTATATTTAACAAATACTACCTCCGGTCCTAATTATAAGACCCAATTGACTAATTTGGAGGGATTAAAGAATTCAGTTAAATTAGTTATTTGTAATGAATAGGCGCTGTTTTTTCTAAAATATTCTTGCTAATCAAATTTGCTATCTAAAACTACCATTATTAGAGAACTATCTTGAGAAAAAAATAGATCAATATGAGAGATAAAATAAATTAAAATCTTATATATATAACCAAAATAAAATTTAAACAAGATTTTATATTAAGTACGGAAAGTAGTACTTTGTAATCGTTATTTTTTTACATTTTTTATGATTCTCTGAACCAAACCGGCATCGCAATATCAGACACGAAAAACGAATACTTTTATTAATGAGATTTGAACTTTAATTAGCCATATTGTAAGCTACTGACCTTTTTTGCTAGCTAGACTGAATTTTCTTTTCCTACCAACATGAATTATTAGCAAACAATAAAATATTAACATAAAATTTTTTTTGATACAATGTACGCACAGGATGTGAATCTATCTATTTTAGCATAGAAATTTCAATCTCATAAAATATTTCTAACTGAAAATGTTATACAAAACAAATTCATGAACATAATAAAATATTCTGCAAATGAGTCAATGAATTCGAATTAATTAAAATTTCCCAGACTAGTGCAATACTTTTTTTATATATAATTTAATTTTTTATAAAAGTCAAATAATTGGGAAAACAATAAACAATAATTTACTATAGTTAACAGAATCGAAATCTAACGAGAATCGTGGTAAAATTCAAACTAGCTACCTGGTAGGCACGTCCAGCCAGCCCCACATACCCCTCAAACATATAAATACCTAAACCCTTGGCTTCTATGTTCTCCTTCCTCCCCTTTTGTTTTCTCTTCTTGTTCATTCATTTCTTTCTTTCCTTCCTTCCAGTTTCCGGGTATGGCCCTTCCTTCATTTTCCATTTTCTTTCAAATCTTTGCACGACCATAAAAATCTCAAAATCATCACTTTCTCCTTATCGGTATCCTCCTTCTCCCTACGCACCTACGTTCTTGTTTCGCTCGACGACGATCGAAGAAATTGCAGGATCCAGAATTAATCTCAATCAGGTACATCCATGTACGTACAAGTTAAAAGTTTCTATTTCTGCGATTAAGATCTGTCCACGATCTGGGTCTCTTGTTAGTTTTCTCTCATATCAACCTTTTTTGCATTCGTTTCAATCTCAATCTTTAACCATGTAATCGCTTGAGCCTGGTAGGTGCATGAGGTCCTTGCAAGAAGGAAAGTTTTTTCTTTCTCCTTCTGTATTTCCTTTTCCGTTCTCTGGTTTTGTTTTTGTCTTTTTTCAAACCGTGAACCTCAATTTTAAAAACGCAGGTCTTTTGATGGATTCAGCACGAACGATCGCTTTTGGTTTTGTTTATTTTGTTTATTTTGTTTTTTGTTTTCAAATTGTTGATGTTGAGATTGAGATCCATTTTACTGGTTTCAGGCGACATTGTTCCCTATATCTATATTTTATATTTCAGTTTTTGTATTATCACGCAGTTTAGGGAAAAAAAAAGTTTTGTTTTTTTTATTAGTGTCGTATTTATTAAACAATGATTTGACAACCTTGAGTAGAATTTTCTCCTGGACTCTTCCTTCCATCACGAGCATGCTCCCATAAAAATAAGGGGGATCGGAAAACTTCACGTCCCTCTAACAGTACTTTTCCCGGTCACCGATCATTCCCAGAATTTTCCGGGAAAACTTTTCTCAACGCGTATTCTAGGCTTTCCTGTTTTGTTTAATCTTTTTAACTCATCTACGATAATTTGTTTTCTCTTTTAAGTGGATTCTCAATGACAATATATAAGTGACGACAGTCGACGGATGAAAGTACATTTTTATATATATAATCTACCAATCATTTGGGTAAGAGCTCTGCTAAATGTGGATAGCTTTGTTTATCATACACCAGTACGAATCAAAATATCTGTGCTTGTTTGGAATTTTTGGGTCCCCTTGAAAGAGAGTAGTGTTACGTCATTCAAAATTAGAGCATCGTTAATCCAACATTTTCCTCAGTAATATTGTTCGGAAACTGTTGTGTCCTTTACTTTTGTCTCTATATGTCTGTGCTTGTTTGTATATATATGCTTTTTTTTACTTTTTAGTTGTTGGCATTCATGAATTGACAACACTTTTTATTACTCGGGTAATGTTCTTATCTTCATTCAATAATCGATCGTACTTTTTGTTTTAAAAAAAAAAAAAGAAGGAAAAATCGCTACTGTGCATTTTGGTTATGTGCATATCATTCCTCTGATTGTTAAGTTTATATATCTTCGTTTAATGATGCACAGAGATGGAAGTTATTATCATCAGTTCTTGATTGTCTGGGTTTCTGAAGCTGATTTCAAAGAAACTCTAGAGGATTTTCAGGATTTGTGTTGTGTCTCATAAAAGGTTTGAAGGAAAGCTAGCTAGAGAGGTTGATGAACAAGAGAACACTGATGAAGCGTTAACAAAGCAAACACCAATAATAATATATAAGGAATAATAACAATGGATTTGAAGTCGTCTCATGCTTCTCCTGTTCTTACTGATCCTGTTCCAATAACCAAGTCAAGACTAGGAATGCATTCTGGTCTCATAAGTTACTCCCAGCAAGATTCATCTCTCTCATCCCTCTCTCCTGTTAAGTATCCAAGAAATGGTTCGAGAAAAAGCTCAGGAAACCTTGATGATGTTCGTTCTAATGGTTGGCTCGACGCCATGAAAGCTTCTTCACCTCCTAGGAAGAAGCAGCCCACCAAAGGCTTCAACTCTCACATGGATTCCGAGCAAGACTATCGCTCCTGGTTGGTATGTCCTCTCCCCCTTCACCACAAACTTAATCATATTTCCAAACTGTGCAAAATTTTCATCTCACTTCTTTTCCTTTTAATTTCCATATACCATCAGCTGGATTATCCTTCAGCACTGGAATGTTTTGAGGAAATGATTGAGCATGCGAAGAACAAGAAGATTGCAATGTTCCTAGACTACGACGGAACTCTTTCACCCATAGTGGATGATCCAGATTGTGCTTTCATGTCTGAAGCTGTAAGCTAGCTTCTTTTGATGATTCTGATACTTTGCATAACTTGCGTGATCATAAAGTTAATTGCACTATAGATATGCCTATTAGTTGCCTTGTTTAAAACATTATTTGTGTTGATCAGATGCGTAGTGTAGTGAGGGATGTGGCAAAGTGTTTTCCTACGGCAATCATCAGTGGAAGAAGCCGAGACAAGGTGGTGATGTCAGAACAGTATTGTGATTAATACTATCTCTGGTTCTTAATATAAAAATTAGTTTAATATTCAATTTGGTCCTAAATACAAGACCCCAATCATTTTTTTCAAGTAGTCCTTGTAATAGGTGCACATGTTAAAGATTCCATCAAATGATAGTTATAACTAATACACATGATTAGCAAAGATATTCTAAAGAAGACAGCATCTAGCTATTACAAATAATTAACTTAACAAACTTCCTTAATCTACTCAAATTAGTTAACTAACTCTTACATTAAGGATTAAAAGTAATAATAATAGACAAGTTTTCTTAGGAGAGCGCAAACTTTATTTGTACCCAGAAAAAAGTGTTCATTTTTTTTCCCCAAAATTTCAGGTTTACGACTTGGTTAAATTAACGGAACTGTACTATGCTGGTAGCCATGGGATGGACATTATTGGGCCTGCCTGTCACAATCTGTCCAATAGCCATCCAGACAGTGTTAAGTCCACTGACCAGCAGGTCTCTCTCTCTCTCTCTCTCTCTCTCTCTCTCTATATATATATATATATAAAATCATGAGCATGCATCAGAAAAATTATTACAATATGATGGAGGGCGTTGATGACTCTGTTTGTGTGCGTTGGTGTTGAAACAATATTATTGCAGGGAAAGGAGATAACTCTGTTTCAACCTGCGAGAGGATTCCTGCCCATGATTGATGAGGTACGTACAAATCCAACATCTTAAAACAAGTGAGAAAAGAGGAAAAGGATAGTATTTGAAGTTTAGTGGACAACATGCAGGTTTTCAAAAGGCTGGTGGAGATCAGTAAAGATATAAAAGGTGCAAAGGTTGAGAACCACAAGTTTTGTGTTTCTGTACATTATCGTAATGTAGAAGAAAACGTAAGTGCCTGTAATACATACATATCATCACTCCAACTAGAGCTAGCTCCTATAGTTATCCTCGTAGTTACCAAGCCTCTCTCTCTCTCTCTCTCTCTCTCTCTCTCTCTCTCTCTCTCTCAATTAGTCACTTTTTCTTACTGCAGAATTGGACACTTATTGGACAACTTGTGCATGACATGTTAAAAGATTACCCTCTTTTACGTTTAACACACGGACGCAAGGTAGGTATATATGTGCTTTGCATGGATATAAATATATATATATATACTCCTCCGGTCCTTATTATAAGACCCAATTTGACTTTTTATTTGGTCCTAATTATAAGACCCAATCCATTTTGTCTCTTATATTTATGCATTTTTTTCCAAGATAATCCTTCTAATAATGATAGTTTTAGCCAATATACTTAATTAGCAAGGATATTTTAGGAATGACAACACTTATTTATTATAAATAACCAACTTAACTTACTTCCTTAATTTCTTCAAATAAGTCAATTGGGTCTTATAATTAGGACCGGAGGAGTATATATATATTACAGTAGTGTCGGAAAGCTTTAGAATAATTTTGTTATATATGGATGTGACTGCAGGTTTTAGAGGTTCGTCCTGTGATAGATTGGAACAAAGGAAAAGCGGTTGAATTTTTACTTGACTCCCTGGGTAATAATCCTACATAATAATTAGCTCTTATATTAAAAATCGAAGATAGTATATACGCAGAAATATGAAATTGCATGAGATGGGGCTGTGCAGGTTTAAGTGAACGGGATGACGTGCTTGCCATCTACATAGGAGATGATAAGACCGATGAGGATGCTTTCAAGGTAATAACAAGCTGATTTGCCATATTAAAACTGACTTTTTTTAATTCGAAAAGACCAATTTAAAACTAAAATTATGTTTGACACAATTTTAGAAGTAAATTAAATTATTTTTTTCCCTCAAAAGTCACCTTAGAGTTGAAATAATTTTTTTCCTGACTTTTTTGCTTTTAGCTTTTCTTTAAATTTAAACCTTTTTAAACCTGACATTTTAATATGTTATTTAAATAAATTTTTATTAAACTGACTTTTTTAATAAAAACATATTCAAACATAATTGCATTACAATTATTAGCTTTTACTTCAATTTTAATTTACGAAAGCCAGTTGGGATAGAAATTACTTTTTGCGAACATTAATTCAAATAAGTCCTTACTTTTTAATTTTATAAAAAATCGTGAATTTAGATTTGAAAGTTTTGATATAGGTCCCATATATAATGACATGAATATTTATTTTATATTTTTCTACACGTATCTATTCGAGACAGTTTATAAAGTGTTTTTTACGAATTAAGTTCATGAATTTGACTGTAGGTAGGGGTTTATTTATAATAAATGAATAAGTTGATTGGCTAAAATTGAAGATTAATATATAATGCATGAATTTGGATAGGCGTTGAGAGAGAGCAGAGGAGGCTATGGGATCTTAGTTTCCTCCACCAGAAAACAAAGCAATGCCTTCTATTCTCTGCGGGACCCATCTGAGGTTTGGACTTTAATTTCCTGTGTCCTTCTTCTCATTCTTTTTGTTTTGTTTTGTTTTTTTTTTAAATTAACTTCACAATGTAAATATTTCCCTAATGAAGTTTTAAATAAAAAAAATATAAATTGTCAGTGGTTAAATTTTAGGCACATTCACATGCAATATAAATTGTCAACCTGGCCATTTCGAAAATCATATGTATGTCTTTTACATGTATTGAAGATAGGAGAGTGTGTTTGTAAATAAATATATACTCCTTCGATCTTTAATATAAGATCTAATTAACTAATTTGAATAGATTTAAAAGGTTAGTTAAATTAGTTAATATAATATGTTTTTTCTCAAACACTTTAAGTATCTTCTTTAATTTCCTCTCTCCCTCTCCTATTTGCTTATTATTAGAAAAATATCAATAGGGTTAATTTGAAAAAAATTGATAAACATGTGAAATAAGTTTTGCAGGTAAAATCAATATCAACTCAATTAAGCCTTATATTAAGAACCGGAGAACTATCTGTAAACCATCTCACATAAGTTTCACTAAAATCAAGTTGGGTGAAAAAAAAACAATGTACTACCTCAGGTCCTTAATATAAGACATTGTTTAACTTTTATTTTGGTCCTAAATATAAGAGCTCAATCCACTTTGTCTCTAATATTTATGCTTTTTTTTTTAAAATAATCCTTCTAATAATGGTAGTTCCATCCTACATACGTGATTAGTAAGAATATTTTGGAAAAGATAACACCTATTTATTAATAACTAACTTAACTTATTCTTAATCTCTTTAAATTAGTCAATTAGCTCTTATAATTAGGACTGAATGTAGTATTAAATATGAAATGAGTTGCCCTTTTATTTAAAAAGCCCTACACTAGTCTAGATAAGGCAGCACAACAGATTCTAGCCTCCAATTTTAATGCTTGATTAAGATTGAAATTGGATAAGTCATCTTGGGTTAAAATATATGTATATATTTTAATCAAACAATTTAATTTCATAGAAAAATATGATGAATTATATGTATTTTGATATTCAATTTGGGTAACAATGATTAAAATTGAAGAACGTGTGGTACTGGTGGGTGCAGGTCAAGAAATTTTTGGAGATGTTGGTGAATTGGAAGATGGAAGAAGAAAATAAGCAACAAAAGAAGAGCCATTCATTTTGACAAAATATTTTATTTTTAAAATTCAGGTCGGATATCAAACCCGAAAAAGGCAGCAGGATCCTCAAGGTTCAAGTACCTGGAGCACCATCATTAAATTTTTGTCTTAGCAATGCTATTCATTATTTTTTTTTTCATTTCTTATTTATTTTTCCTCCTCCAACTGTAGTCTTTATTAAATATCAATAATTTCATGGAAGCCATTGGGTTTAATTTTTTCAAAATGTCATAATGCTGTTTATCTGTTTTTTCCCTTTAATTTTTTTCCATTTGTTCATAATAATTTCTTTTTTTCCTCCCCTTTCTACATTTAAGAAGGTAGCAAAATAGCATAAATGATCATTAGAGAAGTAATCTACTCTTGAAACTTACCAGCTGTTATTTATATTTGTTTCTGACGATGATCCTTTGCCCTTTTTTTTTGTAAAATTATCATCGTAAAATGTTTCCATAATTAAACCAAAACGAGCCTTATCTACACATAAATACCCTTAAGCTACAACAAATTAAACAACATAAAAATGAAAAATTAAATCAAGTTAATTGAAAACAAGTTAGAAAATTTTCATTACTGCTGTTTAATATGTTGTACATAATTTATATTTATATGCCTTTAAGTTTTTAACATTAAAAGTATACCTATAAATTAGATATATTAGAGGCCAAAATAAGCCGATGAGGTGGTGATCATATAGCTGTCGACCCTTGAAGATAAAAAGGCCCATACATTTGTATTGGGTCAGCCCAAATCCTGAGGCCCATTATCAAATATAGCCATAAAGTAGGCCCCGGTCGTGAAATCTGAAAGGGAAAAGAAGTTCCAAGATGCATCCATGCCGATACTCTAATACCTACGCAAAAAAGGGGGGCGGGGGGGGAAGGAAAGAAAGTCGAACGAGAGGGACGAATAGTTCATGAAAAAGGTAAATACAAATTCTCACTGGATTATCTTTTATAAATTAATACTACCTCCGGTTCTAATTATAAGAGTCAGTTAACTAATTTAAGGAGATTAAGAAAATAAGTCGAGTTACTTATTTGTTCTAAATAGGTGTTATTTTTTCTAAAATATCTTTGCTAATCAAGTGTATTAACTAGAACTATCATTGTTAGAAGGACTATTTAAAAAAATGAGAGAAAAATAGATTGGAGTCTTATATTTAGGATCAAAATAAAAATCAAATATAATCTGTATTAAGGACCGAGATAATATCATTAAACCATGATTTGGGCCAAAACTATAGTTTTGAAAGAAGCAAAATGAATTAGGTTAAAAATTGAGGACTGTTGATGATAATTATGCTGTCAGAGGATGTATATGGCAAAAAAACACCGCCACAATTCAATTCTGCAATCATTCTGCCTTCGGTCCTTCAGAGACAATTTGGCCTTCGCTCCTCCTGAGACACAAACAATTAGGCCTTCGGTCCTTCAGAAGTAGTTCGGTCCTTGAGAAACAATTCGGCCTTCTGCCTTAAGTATTCATCTTCTAAAAAATATATTTTTGTTCTTATATTTTTTAAATATATATACACATAGTAACAGTTAATTAATTATATTAAAGATTGGAGGTAGCATATTGTTATAAAAACTAAGTGTGAATAAATGTTATGGAATTTCGGGTTTAAAATTTTTCAAGCAAAATAATATTTTCCTGTTGGTGAAAAAAATAATTATTTTTCTATAACATATTTAATCTTATATTTTATAAATATATATACACATATAATTACTATTAATTACATTTTCTTATATATTATTTATTACAAAAGGCAAAAAATATATTATTAACAAATTTATTACTTCAAATTAAAATATATTATAAAACCTATCTTCTATGTAATAATCATATTAACTTATGTCTTTTTTAGTAATTTGTACATATAAAAAGTGCTTTTCATAACAACTAATCCAAATATCCTCACTTTATCATAATCACCTTTTCACAAAATCTATTCTTTCAAAATTTATTCTCAAAAATAACTTTTTTCCCAGAAGCTATTCTTCAAATAATGGTTTGGTTTTATCTAAACCAAACTATAGTTTTAAAAGTGATTTTATGATATACAAAATAAATATGTGGAAGAGTTTGTTTTAATTTATAAAAAAATGCTTTTAAAAAGCACTCTTATTAAGGAGGTGTTTGACAACTTCAAAAAAGCATTTTTTGGCTTCAAACCATGGTTTGACTTGAAAACCATCCAAACACCACCCATTTAAAAAAAAACCATAGTTTTGCTCAAAAATCATGGTTTTAGTGTCAAAAACCAAGGTTTCAGGAGAAGTGAAAATTTTTCACTTTTCCATGACCGTTGCAACAAAGTGGAAAGAGAAAATGTGGTCAGTATGTACAGTGTTATGCTTTTCTTACACTGTAACAGTAAGATTGTTAATGCTTGCAATTATGGACGGTTAACCATAGCTTTTCTTGCTGAGTTTTTTATACCCTTGAATCCGTAGAGTCCTTTTCTATGCCAATCTTCCTCCTCGAAGTTAATTCCTGAAATTACACATTTATCATCATCAAAAAAAGACTTGGCATTTCTGTCCTTTAGTTAGTTTGCTCATAGAAACTAAACTGCAAGCAGTTTAGGTACATAAAGCACATTGTGAATTACTGTGTGATTAGATAACTCAACAGACCCAATTCCACGTACAGGAGTATAAACTCCATTTGCTACCTTGGCTTTAAGATCTTCATGATAGTACTTGAGATTTTAAACAATCTTTGTTACCAGTCATATTATCAGTAGCAGAGTTAATAATTTAGACATTATCACTAGTTTCTATAGCATTAAGGGCAATTATGAAGTCACCTGATTTTACAAAGTTTATGTTAGGTGTACTGGTCTGTTTCTTGAGTATTCGGCATAGGAGTTTTAGCTCTTCTTTGCTAAGGGTGTCTCCATCCTTTTCTCTACTTTCTGCATGGTAACTTTTTCTAGCTGTTTGTTATTCACCCTTCTTGAACCAATGTTATTACCGGTTTAGTGTCCGGTTTAGTTTTTTGAACCTTGATTGGGCTGCCTTGTAAGGGCAGTAGAGTTACATTGTGGGCCTTCATATTTGGGTAAATTTAGTGACCAATTGTTTAAATTGGTTCAACTTTCAAGTGGGCTCGGTAGATGGACGCGACACTAGATTTATCGGCTTGGCCTTGATGACTTCGTCGGTACCAAAGGCAAGCCTCTCCCCCTTGGGTCCCAAACTGAACTCAAAGCCATTAATGGCCGATAAAGAGGCTGACGTTGGCCGAAACGTACCTGAGAAGATAACGAGAACTTTGTTATACATGTGACGACTAATTATTTGCTAATAGTAGGTGACCAAATCGTCAATTGATGGTTTTACAAAGCAAGATAGAAGGAGAATGTCAACTTCAAGGATTTCACGTCATTTCGATAGGTTTTCTTTGAGCTGTATGCACTTTTTTGATGCATATATGTATATTTTGAATATTCAGATATAAACAAATATGCATGGAGGTTAACAATCTCCTTCCATTAAAATGAATAAATAAAAGGAAGAGTTTAATTAATCAATTAAATTCCAATTTTGCTCCAAAAATTTTCTTATACTCCTCCGGTCCTTAATATAAGACTTAATTGTTGAGTTGATTTTAATTCCTAAATATAAAACATATTTCTCATATTTATCAATTTTTTCTAAACTATACCTATGGATACTCCTGCCATTATAATAAGTAGAAGAAGGAAGAAAGATATTAAGGAAGATGATTATGGTGTTTTAAAAAAAAAGTCATATTTCTTATAATTAACTACCTAATTTCCTCAATATAATAAAATTAATTAAATATCTTATATTAAGGACCGGAAGAGTACTAAATTACCTGTACATGTTCTCTCAAGTCTCACATAAATGTTTAGTTCAAGTCTCAAAATAAATGTTTTGTTCAATTAATTTCTTAATCTTTTAATTAATTAATCAAACCCCAATCTTCATTGCAAATTCTACATTGTTATGTAAAGTTAATGAGTACATCTCTACCTCATTAACAATTATTCACTCAACTTGCAAATGTCAAGTTCTCATGTGACTTGATTCGAGCTCTACAATAAGCCAACCTCTCGAGTATCAACCTAGTAAACCCAACAATCTCATTCCGTCAACCTGTCTCCTCCTTTAGCAACTTGATATATTGTTGTCGCAGTGTCATGAGCCAAAGGAAAGGATTAAAATAGGTTAAACAAGAGCTTGTTCAGCACGAACACAAAAATTGTTCGACATCATGTACGTATGGCATAACCTTAAGATCATGTTATGGCCAAGCTTGAAGTAACTTCAACCAAAAACTGCTGCACTGCAATAACTAACCTTCGCTCAAATATAAGCTTGCAAACTTCAGCTTATGCAATAGCTTTAAAGCAAATACACACTTAAGCCCTGCATTGTTTTCATTATTGCCCATGCACGAAACAGTTGTGACATTCAATATTTGTCCCGTCCTTCATGGATGAGGAACTATGTTGTGTCAATTTGTATTCTTTGCATTACATTCATTTTACAGTCAAATAATCTCAAGACATTTTAAAGGACTTGCCGTTTCGGTCTGGAAATTTCGAAGAACTTGATAGAAAAATACTCTCTTGATAAATGCCACCTCAAAATTTTGGACTCAGATCGCTTACCTCTGGCCAACAAAACCTACTTAGTCTCTACATAGAATCACCAGCCAAAGTCTAATTACAGGTTTAGGACATCCTCAATAGAAACAGATCTAAAAGTTCAATGACATCAATATAAATATGTTCTACTACAGAGGCTCCGTGTTCACCAGCTCAGATGAAAAAACAGAGATAAATTATTAAGCAATATTCAGAATGCCACAACAACCCTCCTAGGCCTAAGGAAAAATAGATCAGTTTCAGTCCAATACAGCATAAAATTTATTATGTATCATACCCTAAATTCAATTGTAAAGTTGCTTGAACCTTCTGCAGGCCTCCAATATATTTTCCCTGTGACCAAAGGCACTAACCCTG